TTTGTATATAAATCCTTAATTTATTTTATTCCTATGAAGCCCAAAGGGTGGCTAATGTGCTTATTTCATATTACTTGTGACTATAATTTATATTTTGGGGTGTTTGGGTATTTCTTTCTCCCTTTACTACTGATATTTTGATCATAAACTACAAAGAAATGTATGGAGCGATGTTCGATGTTGAGTGTATGACGTCACAGACTCCAAAAAATTATCGTAAAAATATCATACTTTCGTACTGAATATCGAGAAAACACTTCATACAGTGATTATTGGACCTTTAAAGAGTATTCTTAGGAAGTTTCAGCTGAATCCAAGTTTGAGCGATTTTCGTCGTAGTAGCACTTTAATAAAATATTTTTTCCATCAGGATTTCTGGTATATACATTTTTGGGGAGGGTCATAATTTTTTATATCCTATTTAAGGGATATACATTTTTTTCTTTGCCTTTCAAGGAAGGGCCTCTATTTTCTTGACAGGGTTCAATGCAAATTTGGTGGCCCTCCCCCCCGATAAATAATGATAACTCCCTAAACCTTGCTATATTGTTTGTTTTTCATCAACAGACCCAGCAACGTTGCTGAGAAAATACCAAGGTACATTAAATTGCACTTTTAATACTTTTAATATCTAAGCCTAAAGAACTTTATAGTCGTGTAATCTTTGAGTTAGCTTTGAGTGATTACAGGACTCTTAAGCCCCACTCTACCTATTATTAGGTATCAGGTATATGTACGATACGAAAGTCATGAGGAGATTATGGAATGAGTTTGAAAGAATTTCTACAAATGGACTCCACAGAAATTAGGAGAACTATGATGGAAAAATCAGCCCTTACACGACTTCTGCAGCAAGTGCTGCAGACAGAAGCTCCCCAAGGATGTTAGTACTCCGAAAAGGGGAAGAATGATGATGATGTGTCTTCCTATAAGTATAGAGAAAACACAGTAGCGAATTTAGAGGTAGTTCCTTAGGTGCCATAGACCCCCTCTCCCCCTCCCCTTTGTGAGATCTTGGGAAGTTGATCATGTTCTTTACGCTCAGTAGAATGAAATCGAAACCCCCCTTTTGTGAAGCCAATCTTTCTGCGTGGCGGCCATTTTGGAACCCCCTTCCTTCCTTCCAAATTCCTGGATCCGCCAATGAAATTAAACAGCAATGCATTAAAATGATTGGTATTCCTTTAATTGCTGTACAGTTTTCCCCACCGAATGTGGCATCCAGCAGCACACACCGAATCCCACCAGAAGAAGACGTAAGCGGGTTGTCGGCGGTCAAAGCGCACAAGAAGGACAATTCCCTTGGCAGGTGGCGCTCTTGTTTAAGGGGCAGCACTACTGTGGAGGATCTGTCGTTCACCGTAACTGGATTGTAACAGGATCGCATTGCTTTAGTAAGTTGGATCAATGTTGTCTCAAAATTACGATAGACCAATAGTCCCCTTCACAGTTCCCTGCGTCATCTTGAAAGGTAGCCGTGCCTTTGCTTATCAGCGAGACGAACGGTGAGCTTGCAATGATAGGGACCTGTGAATAATTGTCTAGGGTGTTAGATAAAGGTCTCTATCATTGCAAGCTTACCGCTCGTCTCGCTGCGATGCAAAGGCACGGCTACCTTTCAAGATGGCGCAGGGAACTGTGAAAGGGATTATTCGGCTAACGCATTGCAGTTTTACCCAATTCAAATTTACTGGGAATACGTTTCTTTGTCTAATATATTAACATAACATATTCATATGAATGCTTCATTGACATGTAAATATAATGGACAAAGAAAAGTATACCCAGTAGATTTGAATTGGCTGAAACCGCAATGCGTTAGCCGAATTGGTATATTAAGAAAAGCGCACAAGAACGGTGCGTTTTTCTCTTACTCACCTACTCGCTCTGAACGCATTTTAGATCCCTTCACGTCACATGACCCCAAAGACTGGATCGTAAAATTGGGAGAACATCGCCTGCGAAACGAAGAAGTGTTTGAGCGAGCCGTACGAATTACAAACATAACGATACATGAATGGTACAAGTCCATGTGGTTTGAAGGAATCACGGATACGCCTCCTACCTACGATATTGGTGAGTGAACTGAATAAAACACACCCCAGGGGGTAGGGGTGGATGTTGTAGTTGGGGTGGGGAGGGGGGGGGTACTCAGTACCATGAATGGTACAAGTCCATGTGGTTTGATGGAATCACGAATACACCTCCTACCTACGATATATTAGGAATAAAACACCCCCAAGGGAGTAGGGGGTGGGTGTTAAGTACTTGCAGCATAGAGTAAAGTAAACAAAACCCTTCAAATTAACGTGTCATGTTAATTTTTGTAGCAATTTTGAAGCTGGAGCGTCCAATAGTGTTTAACCGTCACATTCAACCTATCTGCATAATGCGACCTGATACTCACTTTAACTGGGGGCAGAAGTGTACAGTGTCAGGATGGGGTCACTTGAAGTGGAACGGATCCCAACCAAACGTCCTCAACTATGCAGAAGTACCCATCGTCTCACACAGAGACTGTAATAAGGAAAAATCATACAACGGGACGATCCACGGGACGGCACTATGCGCGGGATACCCGCAAGGCCAAGTAGACTCTTGCGAGTATGACAGTGGTGGACCGCTGGCTTGTAAGAAGTGTGGGCGCTACTACTTGACTGGTGTTGTGTCGTGGGGTCACGAATGCGCTTTACCTCACAAGTACGGTGTGTATGCTCGCATGGAGGCATTAACACCCTGGATGGTGTCTATTATAGGGGAAGAAGAAGCTGTCACAGAAGCAATGAACGTGAGGGTGGGATAGTATAGTAGTATAACAGGTTTATTATTGATTCATTAGATTCATTTTGGTTACTACTGAAGAGAGATATTTTTGTAACATAACGAGTTTGACTCTCACAAAATGGATTGAATTTATTACGTAGAGAAGATTTTGTTTGTTTGTGGAAATGACGTGAGTTGACAAGGATAATGCAATCGAAGTCACGCAATATCATGTCCAGTCACGAGGTGTCACGATGCCGAAAAACTGATGTAAGATCACGGTGGTTGGCATATATGGCGTTACGTTATGGTACTTGACGTAAAGCGTCACGTCACTTCACGATGCTAAGCGTATTGTGTCAGGTCGCAGTGCAAGGCGGATGGTTTTACCTTACGTATTCCACAACCATACAAACTCTTCCTCCTATTTTTACTATTATATTCAAACATATTTTACAACTAGGAACGGATAGACAGAATAGATCTAATTTTCCCAATTCAGATCACGTGTCATCCCACACGAAAAGACACATGATACAAAACAATTAAAGAATCATATTCTCTTGGGAATGACGCGGTTTGAAATGGGAAAAACATTGTAACGCAACGAATTCGAAGAATAATAGCATGAATAATTTTTTCTTAAAACTGAGACGCACGACGGTAATGCGTTAACCTTTCTTCTTCATATTTTTATCGCTTAATTCAGTGCCTTCGTAAGATATTACCCCAAATGTAGTATTCAACCTAATACCCCCATTTCGAGTTCGCATTTACTCAGTCTTAGCCTCGATTGTGTACAAATGTACTATTTTCTTTTATTAAGGTCCATTGTATAGTAAGGCATGTGCGCACTACGGAACAATACGAGTTGATTAAACTTCCATTGGTGTTGGTTGAATAGCTGAACTTTACTCGACGCACAACTGAGGCTAAGACTGAGCAAAAATTAACTCGAAACTGGAGTATTTTAGATGATATACGTCATAATTTTAGAGTATTAACGTAATATAACATGACGATTCGCGTCATTATTTTGAAATATTGACGTTATATTTTGGAATCTTACGTCTGATATTTCCTTTTATTTGAAGGACTAAGATTGATCCGTGTAGAAATACACGATATCTATTCTAGTAACACTATCTTAATTCTAATTTCGGGATGAATTATCATCTTAATATATCATGTCTTGAAAGAAAGAGAGTAAAGAAAGGGACAAAATAAATGGGAGAATGAGACTAAAAAAACAGACAACATTGGTCTACTGCATTAGCTATTCAGAGGTCGAGCAAAAAAACCTGGTCGCGTTGGTATTGCAGTGCATTATGGGTGTTTGTCACAGCACTTCCAAGATGGCGTTTCCAGTGTGTCCATGTACTGGAAAAGTCCCACAATGCATCGCGATGCCAAATCCACCCAGGTTTTACCCAACCACGTCACCGAATGGCTGATATACGAAAATGAGGACTAGGATGTATATTTGCATGATTGTTTCAACAACGAAAAAGTAAGTGATCGTTTACATAATAACCTCCACGAAAAAGCTGGGCTTTTTCAATTTTAACAATAAAAAAAAAGAATAGTTATTAGTGTAATTATATTTCTATTATCACTACCTTTAAGGCTCTTGGCTTGGTTATGGGGGATCGAAATCAAACGACCTAAACCCTATCGATAGGTAACACCCGATTTTCACTACTAAAGCAAGTTAAATGATTTATATGTGTTTTATTGATACTTTTTTGTCCCTTGGGAATAAAGAGTGGATCAAATTGAAATATTCTGACGGCTTTTATAACTTATCTTAAAGTTGGAAAAAGTGTGCTAAAACTCTTATACATGGAAGAGCGAGGAACGCCTGGTTAAAACCACGATTTTTACACCAACGGATTAAGCTCCATTTTMAACATTTTGAGCTGGTGTAAAATCCATGATTTTCACCAGGCGTTCCTCGATCTCCTATCAATAGGTAACACCCCATTTTCACGACTAAAACAAGTTAAATGATTTATATGTGTTTTATTGGTACTTTTTTGTCCCTTGGGAACAAAGTGTGGCCCAAATAGCATAATTTTGACTGTTTTTCTACTTATTCTGAAACCATGGTTCCCTTGTATCCTTATCTTGGTTATTGGGTATCATAAAATGAAGCCATATAACCATGGTTTCCTTGTATCCTTATCTTGGTTATTGGGTATCATAAAATTAAGCCATATAACCATGGTTCCCTTGTATTCTTATTTTGGATATGGCAGAACGAAATGTGAAATATTTTTAGAACAAAAGCAAACAATGGACCTAATCCACACAGGGCGTAATGTTTTGCTTATTTCAGTAGGCCACGGTCACTCTCTTGATAATAAGATTCTTTGTTTGAGTCGTATGCATACATGATTTGACATTGAGCTTATTGAAACACATTTATAGTATTGTTCGGTCAAGAGACCGAGAAGACCGCCTTGTTATCCATTGTTTTCATTGCGTACGTCTCAAGTGAAGTTTCGCGTCTGACCTTAGTCTTGGTCTGATATTCCTAACAGTCTCAGAAGTGGAGCACAAACGTTGTTTATCATACGTACTCTCTCAACCGGTGCTTCTTTGCGCCATTTGTCAGCATTCCCAGTTGCATTTCTAACGACAGAATAATGGTTATAAGATTCTAATTTTAGTTTTTCCTTGCTTGGATTCGTGTGGTTCATGATCCAGTCTGTAAGTCTTGGCTCAATTTGAAAACGTGCGAACTTGTAAATCTTTTTTGCGATAGCAAGAGGGTTAGCAGAGATGTCTTTATACCTTATGATCATGCATCTGTCTCTATACTCGCTTTTCTTCATCAGAATTTGCATGTATCTTAAGTTGTAGGTAGTGGTTTCGCAGACAGATTTAACGCCATTTTGCATCCCAGGATCTGGGTATTCTTTCATCCATCTCAAATTGATGCGTGAATTGATGGTCCCGCGTGGGTCCCGCAACATGTACAACACACGGGTGTGCGGGTTTTCATCTAGAAGACGCCTTAATATAGACGATATTTTCTCGTTTGGTATCCTCGTCACGGCTAATTTTGTCACGCTGTACTTATATCTGGTAGCGCAAACCTCGTCGGCCAGTTTAGGTGGCATATTCTCACAGACTCTTTCTCCATTCTTGATTTTACAAAACGGATGAGACATCATTGCCTTACTATTTAAGCGAACTGCAATCCATTGCGAGATCTTTGCAAGAAATGTAATTCCGTTATTCGTGGCTGAAAAGTTGCAGTTGAGAATGCCGTTCATTGCATCTATGATGACCTCTTGATGCTTTTCAGGCGGACCAATGCCTTTGGTTATCCAGAGTGGCTCGTACACATTGAATACATTCGGGTCCTCGTTAAACATTCGGTTTATAAAAGTTGTGCCCGATCTGTCGTGTCCAATCATTAACAAGCTTTGTCGTTTTGGTTTTGGATTTTCTTTTTGGACCTCGTCTGATCGTATAGTCATATTGGCTCCTCCGTTAGTGTTTGCCTTGTCCTCTTTGTCACCGGTGTCGAACACACTCTTTTTGCCATGCGTATTGACCACACCTTCTTCCCTTCTTGTATCGGCCACATCCTCTTTGGCACGTGTATCTGCCACACCCTCTTTGGCACGTGTATTGACCACATGCTCTTTCATACGTGTATCGACCGTACCCTCTTTCCGATGTGTATTGACCACAACTTCTTTGTCATGTTTGTCCATCACACCTTTCCCAAGGGTATCGAACACACTCTCTTTGCCACGTGAATCGGCCATGCCCTCTTTACTGCGCGTATCGACCACGCCCTCTTCGTCACGTGTATCGACCATACCCTTTTTGGCACGTGTATCGACCACACCCTCTTTACCACGTGTATCGACCACACCCTCTTTTGCACGTGTATCGACCACACCGTCTTTACCACGTGTTTTGACCACACCCTCTTTACCGAGTGTATCGACCACACCGTCTTTGTCGCGTGTATCGACCACACCGTCTTTACCACGTGTATCTGCAATACCTAATTTGCCACCAGCACTTTCCACACTTGCTCCAGATATTGCAAGTCCTTTAACCTTTTCTTCGTTCGTTTCATGTTTTTTTCTGAAATCGTCAACTATCTCTATTCCTTTTTCTAAAATGGCAATGCTGTCTTTCACAAGTTGTTCTTTTTGTTTTGGAAAGTTTTGGCTGAAGTTAATATAAAGGATGCAAATCAAACCTACGACAATCGCGAACGAAAGAAATGCGCGAAATACTTGTCTTGTACGCATCGCAGTGACCAACGATTTCGCTTACTGATGGAACCAAGTTAACAGTGCACGAGAACGAAATTGGTTTTGGTCTAAAACAAACAGAAAGAATAGACAGTGGTTAAAGGGTCGTTTAAGAACATATTTACGAGTACCATGAATGATCTAATAATAAAATTTAAAAAATAGTGAATGGATAAAGGTTAAAATGATTGAATGCAGGTCAGTGTAAGAAAGATGAGGAAGCTATGGGAAGAAAAGAAAAAATTGATAATATCTATGGGTTGGTTTCAGTCAGATGTCAAGAGTGTCTTACCAAAAGGAAAGCCAGAAGAGCGGGGAGATTTAATTCAGCAGCAGATATAAATTTTGATATAGATTTTGTTTACAAGCTCTAGGGGGATGGGGTGGGGGAAGTAGAGCCAAAAGAGGAAAGAAGCTTCCCCTAGCTTCCTTTTCAGTACCTCTCTCCCTTCTCCACGCACCCCCTTCCCTCACTCCCACAGACCATGCCATGGAGCCTTGTGAGCCACGCAGTCTAAAAGTAGTTTTGACCAAATAATCTGTTTGTATGGTTACGCCATTCTACTACCAACACTCACGAGAATTAATGCTTCCTGAATTTTCTTTCTCATTCAAAGTTGATCCCCTATATAAAGGGAAGACCATTAATTGGTGCTAATTGAACTGAACACGTTTGCAGGGCCGGCGGGACACTGGTAGTGGTAGTATATGACGCTAAAATGCAACACGACGCAGATAAATGCCTGTTTTACTGTAAAAAGTCTTTCGGAAGAAAAAATAATGATATTGAAAATTAATTGACTTCTAAAAACTAATGTTCAGTAAGGCTGACTTCCTAAAAATAAATACTGCTTAAATCCTCATTAAACCTTTCAGCTCAGCTGTTATATAAATAACGACTATTGATAATAGTCCATTAACATATTTTAATTTTTTAACCTTTAAAACTATTTAATCTATTTATGTATGCAATCACCAAATGTTTTTTTGATAATAAAATGGTCTGCACGAATTATGAGAAAATTGTAATGTACCGCCCGGCGTATTTTTTAAATCGAAAATCTCTTGCCGGCTTCGTTAGTCCTCCAAGAAGCTCCAAGAAGCTCTAGATTTCTTTAAGAGTTTAAATTTAGATATAAATGATTAACAAAAAAAATTAATCTGAAAAGTGTTCGCAATTCAAAATCATGCATGGGGAAGATTGTAAGTGGGCTTTTACAAACAATTTCCAACAACATTCAACTATCAATTAAGAAGCATACAAACAAGATAAACTTTCTAGTGTACCTTTGATCGTAGTGAGCAAAGTGATGGCTTAGATTTGACCACGACCACGTTGAAGCTTTTCTAATTCTGTTTAAGTAGTTTGTTGAAGACGTCAGAAACTTTTTAATTTTGAATAAAAATCAGTGTATTGACATAGCTAACGAGTACAGCGGGTTACACAGCAACCTACGCACCAATACCAACTGAGTACAGAATTAATTGCATGGAAATCAAAGCGATAAGAAAAGGACAATTTGATTTGAACGAGCGAAGATATGAACAAAATGGAGTACTAGTACATTGTATCGAGCTGCTTCCACTATACGAACCAATCAAAATAGAGAATAAACCATCCTATCACTAGAGTGCATGTCATATACACTCAATTGAAGAATCGTTGTCGGGTTCAGAAACATAGAATATAGAAGCTGAGACCGAAATGGCACATGGGAAATGACATAATCATATTATCATTTATTCATTTGCGCCATCCATGCAGTCGGTTTAGAATGCCAAACGCGTATTAAACAGTGAATGATGCCACGGGTCGCCGGTCACAGCATGCATCTAATTAACGTACTTCCCATGTGCCATTTCGGTCTCAGCTCCTATGTTCTATGTTTCTGAACCCGACAACGATTCTTCAATTGAGTGTATCCTTGAAAAAGCTACAAATTGCAAAAGTTTTGTAAGATTTTCACGGAAATATAGTATGCACTCCATCGAGAATATTCACCTTGCTAAACCATCCAATCTTTACGTGCTTCATAATTACCCTTATTAAAGTTATCATTAGACCTGTGACATCAGAAAACTTTAACATTCAATGTTATCAATTTTAAAATTAATCGATGACTTGAAACAACAACAGCATCAAACGAAATCAAAACAAACCAACAAAATAGAATTACCAAAACAGCAAAAAAAAAAAAAAAAAAAAAAAAAAAAAAAAAAAAA